ACTAAACTTATAAGTTCAAATCAAACCAATACATGAACTGGCGTGAGAATCTAATACATGAGTTATTGGCAGAACATATTCATGCAATTCTAAAAACTAATACTATGTGAAAACACATTTACACAACTCTAAAAGGTTCCATAATCTAATCAATTGCAAAGCTATATTGAACTAATATAGTGGCAGAATATTCATGCAATTAGAAGGTCCAGCAGTCTAAGTAATTACAAAACCCATATATTGTGCAAATAAGCAAAACTACTCTATGCTTTTCAATAACAAACCAGGAGGCTTCAGAGATCAAACGTAACACTATTTCATTATTTCATTTACTTCAGCATTCCTACATTGAATCTTCACAAATTGTATGAAGCCAAATGAGTACCTGGAAAGGGAACAAATGCAGAATCTGAGAGTCAGCGAGGCAATCAGCAGTATGCAGCAGCAATAACGAGTAAGTAATCACACAGCAGCCCAGAAATAGATCCAATAGTGGAAGGAAAACTCTAAACTAAACAGGAATCAGCAGATCAACTAGAAGACAACTTGTATAAACTCAAATAAGCTTGAGATTAAACCCAGCAAACTCCAGAAAGCCTTCAGGAATTAAGAGCACCTACACTAACTTGTATAAATCCTAAATTGACTTATAATGGAGCCCAGAACACTAGTGATTCCATTTAACTAGCTGAAACTTCAATGTAATAGTATATTTTTGGATTTTCTATTGTATTTTTTGTATGTTTTTTTGGATTTTTTGCAGGAATTCAGATCTAGAAGAGGAGTTTGTGATCTGAAATTTGAATTTCAGATCTGGAACTTGAAGGATATTTTAGGGGGAATTTTTAGGCTTCCAAACTTCAGAAACTTTTTGGGGGAAATGTGATGGCTCCCCAAACTTGTAAAAGAAGGCATTAGAGGTGACTTTTATAGGCAAACTTCAGGGGGAAGCTTCTTGATTTCCCTCATACTTTTCCCCCCTTTTCTATTTCAGATTTTACCCAAATGGTCCTTTAGTTTCTGACTTGTGTTTCAAGTTACACCCTAAGTTCCTGAAACTATAGTTAAAGCCTTATTCTAGAATAACCTAGGGTGTTCCAACAGCATTTCTGTTCTACTCTAAGTACCTAATTACCCTTGAACTAATCCTAAAATTACTAATCTAGTCAAACCCTAACATCCAACCCTGCTAATTGGTCAAAGATGAACTATGGTTAAGCAAAAACCTGCCCTACTCAGCTATAACCAAACAACTCTTGACTACCAAGTAAAATTAAATCTTAGACTAACAATTACTGACTCAAGTCAAATTAATATCACTAAGCACGAACTGTTTAATTGAAATCAAACCAATTCAATAAAATCAAATAGGGCAGAACTCATAGAATTAACAGAACCCTAAAACTTTAAATAATTTGGCCGTGAAAACAATTAATCACAATTCGAGCGCAAACTATGAACAATCAAAACACATCAGAGTGACAAACTATTTAGCTAACTTTTATTCAAAAATCAAAATAACAACACGACAATGAATACCAAGGCAGTAAAAGAAACAGAGAAGAAACAATAAAACAAAGAGGAAAGGAAAGGAAACAAACCACAACAAAGAATGGAATAGATACAGGAACTCACCAATCAGACTCAGACTTAGGAGAAAAAAAAAATCTAGCGTGCTTAGGTTCCCAATTGGACTTCAATGCTGGGACCTCGGATTCAACATTCAAAAGGGCTCGTAGGGCTTTCGAAGGATGAGAATGATGGGTTCATGATGAGGGAGGTCTGGAGGCTTTGGGGTGTGAGTTTGGTAGGATTTGGGGCGGCGGCGCCACCAGAGCCCAAAGGCGGCGACTAGGGTTAGGGAATTTGGGGTGTTTCAACGGGTTTTGAGGGGGAATACTGATGACTTGACGATGGGGGAGGTGAAGACGGAGCCTTAGTGTGATTTTGGACGCTGTTTGACAGATTAGGGTTTTGCGGTCGAGATTTCGATCTAAGATTCGAAAGGATTGGGGATGATTCGAAGGGAGTCGAATGTATATTTGGAAAGAGGGGGACGAGGGGAGTTTAGGGTGTAACTTTGGGGGTGTTTGGTGGCCGGCCACCGCCGTGAGGCGATTTCTGGCGGCGGCGGAAGGCGGAGCCGGTGAAGACAATAGGTACGAGAAAGAAAGAATTTTTATGGTTTTTTTTCTTAATTTCGGACACTTTTATGTATTATCGAAAATCAATTAGGGTCGTCGGATGCGAGCAAATGAACGGCCAAGATTAATTGACTATGAAACGACGTCGTTTCAATAGTGCAAGGGGCAGGCCGGATCTGGAGTATTGGGCTGTGGACTGGGGGGTTGGTGTGGTCCGGTTCTGGACTGGAATGTGTTTGGGCTGGGCAAAAAATAATTGAATTGGCCCATGTCAAGTCTTCAGCCCTTTTTCTTTAATAATTTTCTTTCTTTTTTTTTCTCTTTTTACTTCTTTTGTTTATTTTCATTTTGTATGCAAAAATTAAAATGAAACCTAATTTATTTCCAAAATTAAGCTAATTAATTCCTAAAATTGTTTAAAAAAAATCTATTTCATGACAAATTCAATAACTAACAATTAAAATGCAAAAGTGGACTATTTTTGTTATTTTCTTTATATTTTGTTCTAAAAACAAATTAACCACTAATTAACCCTAAAATATGAAATTAGATCCTAAATGCGAATGTAAAGCATATTTTTTGATATTTTCATATGAATTAAAATGCACAAATAAACGCAAACAATTAACAAAAAATGCCACAAAAATCCATAAAATTGCAAATAATGAAAGACGTTGTTTTGTTTTGAATTTATGGGAGTAATTCATATAGGGAAAAATCACGTGCTCACATGGGTAATCAGTATCAATCATCAAAATTAAATAAACTTCACTTACCTCTTCAATTGTAGTGAAAAGTCTTCCAAAAATTGCCTCCAACCGATCTCCACAACTCCAAATAACTTAAAAAAATGACCAAATCCTTCGAAATATAAGGTTTGCCCAGTGATTCCGCATTTGTGGTCACTTAACCGCATCTGTTCTCAGCTCATCGCATTTGCGATTACCTTCTCAGCGCTGACCTTCCACTTTTGCGGCTCAACATGCGCTTCTGCTTTTGTTGACAATTCACCGCACCTGCGGTCCCTGCTCGACCATCCCAAATCCGCTTATGCGAAGGAATCTCCGCTTCTGCGCTTGCGCATCAGCACTCCCTTGTCAGCACTTGCGGATCCAACCTTCCCCAGCCAATCAACACATTTGCGGTCAATCAGCCGCTTCTGCAGCCTCGCACCTACGACCTAACCATCGCAGGTGCGGAAGCGCCAGAACTTAGGAAACTTTAGCAATGCAACCAAGTCTCAAAATGGTCCGCAATTAATCTGAAATGCACCCGGGGCCCCAGAGACCCCATCCAATCACACCAACCAATCCCAAAACATAATATCGAACCTGACCGAGACCTCAAATCACCCAAAACAATATCAAAACTACGAATCACACCCCAATACAAGCCTAAGGAACTAATAAACTTTTAACTTTCAAATATCGTGCCGAACCATATCAAATCAACCGGTAATGATTTCAAATTTTGTATGCAAGTCCCAAATAACATAACAGATTTATTCCAACTCCCGGAACTATAATCTGATCCCGATATCAACAAAGTTAACCCTCGGTCAAACGTATCAACCTTCAACCTTCCAACCTTTGCTAATCTACGCCAAAATGACCTAGGAACTTTCAAATTCAAATCCGGACATACACCAAAGTGTAAAATTACCATTCCAACCAAATGTAATACATAAAATATCAAACTTGGTCAAATCTTCAAACTTAAAACTTCTAAAATAAGAATCTTTCTTCCAGATCCATCCCGAACCACTCGAAAATCGAAACCGACCATACACGCAAGTCATAATACATCATATGAAGCTATTCAAGGTCCCGAACCACCAAACACAAATGCAAATGATCAAAACGACCTGTCAGGTATATATATACATATATACATATATATATATATATATATATATATATATATATATATATATATATATATATATATATATATATATATATATGTTCTAGGTTTTTCTTCTGATCTCCATATTGGTTCCCTCTTAAATCTTCCTCTCTTGTTTTCTCTGTAATTATTTATTCTCTTTCTTATTTTAGTTATCTTTTATTTCTTACCCATTGAAATCTTTTTATTAAACCTAATCCTTATAGAGAACAAAGTTAAATCGAGTGAAACTTGTTTATGTAATATAGAATTAGAGAACATAGTTGCTGGCCGATTGGTTTCTTGTTTGTAGAATATGGCTTTGTGTAATCTTATTTGTATAATATAAGATGATTTTAGAAATGCAACACTATATTCCTTCATTTATTTTTTTTCTTGCAAAGTGAATGCAAGCAAGGGCTTATTCAACTGTAATCTAGCAAAAAACACAATCACAATTAAAATTATAAATAACACATTGCATTAGATCATATTTTTGCCAAAATACCTATAATTTATCAGTCATCCGAGAGTAATATAACATGAGTAAGCTACACAAAAATTTAGTGCAAATCATAAGTTAATATAGTCACACATACACACCCAATGAGGGTTATTAATATATATACAAAAATATAGTTGAGGAGAATTTTTAGGACACAAGATAGTTTAAGTTGGTAACTAAAAAAGAAGTTTAAGTGGGTTTTAGGATGAGTTAAATATCCATGTATAGTGCCACATGTCAAAGTTTTTGTAAATATGAGTGTGGACCAGACGGACCTCTAAGAATTAACGAAAGATTTTTTTTAACATATAGTAGAATAAAATTTAGGAGGTTTTCGGGACATCTAACAATTTAGCATATTCACCCAAAATTAAATGATTAATGCTTAATTAGCATAGAATAATTGCAAAATTCTTCATTACTCAACTCGTACCAGGGACAAGATCCCTTCTTCTCCCGATAAAACATTCAAAAATCTTCTTTTTCATTTTCATGAGTATAAACAAAGTGAATGCAGTACGTTTTTTCTTATTTTTTGATCTCATTATTGATTGCATTTGACTTCTAATAATTTCAACAATGTAAAGAAGAGCAAGCATGCAACACATCAATTGTCTTAATACATAATATTGGTTACAAATTACTATTGAGATGGTTCTTTGACAGGCTTCCCTTTCTCCCTTAGCTTGGCTATGGATTCTTTCATCGCCTCCTTTCTTCTCTTGCTAGCTAATACTTTAGCCATGACACCACTCATATTTGGGTCCTTTTTCTCCTCTGATGTGGGTGGGGGTGGTGGAGGCCTTCTTGCTGCAGCATTTGCATTGTTGTTACCTGCATTTAGCGCAACTCCGGCCAAGCCCAACGCAAGACTCCTGCGAGAGAGAAGAGTTGTATCCAATTTTTTATCATGAAAAGCCAAAGGGATGCTTTTCTTGGTTGATATTGGGGCCAATGTCGTAGCTGCTGCAATTGGAGACAATGACTGAGCCATAACTTTGCTTGGACTGTTTGCTCTCTAAATGAATTGATATATTTCTACAAGTCAAGAAGACGAAATGTTCTTCTGTGGTCTTAGTGCGTTAGGATAATCAAGCAATTGGGATTCGAATTTTTATTGGTTGGTTCTTGATAAGTTGTTGTTTTAGTGGGACCCTTCTTTCCGGGAGAAATTCAAAAATAGTCAGATTTACAAGTGGTAATTAAAAAAAAAATTTTTACACCCTATAGAAAACCTTAGTACCCTATTTATTTTAAATAAATACCATTTTAAAATATTAAATCCTATAGATACCTTTTATACTTTATAGCCAAATATCTAATTATAGTTACATCCTACATTTAAGGCACCATATATGCTAAATAATATTTTTCTCTCTCCTTTTTAGTCTTTTTTCTCACATAACCACCGTAAAATTGACGAACCACGTTCTCTCTCTCTTTTTGCATACACTTTACTCTTTCTCCCTCAACCCACGATTCATACCTCTTCTCCCACCCAAATTCTCTAGTTCTCCTCCATTATCACTCCATTACAATCGCTTAGGGTAAGTTTAATTCGTTGATTTTGATAGACGAAGAGCAATTTGTTCAACTGTAGCGGCTCGATTCTGCATGGCAGTGGTCGTCGAAGTAGGGTTCACAGTTTTTGCGTAATTCATGGCTTCGTTTGTGGGATTTGAGGGTTGGGGATTGTTTGTAGTTGTTGTAGGAGGTTGGGCAGATGTGTTAGGGGGCTGACCAGCTGGAATTAATAGCTGGCCGCCGGCCGACGAAGCCATAAGGCTGTTTCTCTCTCTAGATCGCCCAAATCGCCTATTTGTATTCAGTTGTATTCGAATGTATATTTCAGCTGTATTCACATGTATTCAGCAGCATTCATTTATATATTTTAGATGTATTAAAAAGTTATACGTATTCTCTTGTATTCAGTTTATTCAGTTGTATTTAACTATTTTATTCAGCAGTAGTTAGTTGTATTCAAGTGTTTTATACAACTGTATTCAGTTGTATTCAGTTGTAGTTAGTTATATTCAACTATTTTATTCAGCAGAAGTTAATTGTATTTTGTTGCATTCAAGAGTTTTATTCAGCTGTATTCAGTTGTATTCAAGTGTTTTATTCAGATGAATTAAGTTGTATTTTGTTGTATTCAACTGTATACAGTTCTACTCAACTGTATTATTCATATGTATTTCTCTTTATTCATCTATAATCTTTATTATGTATCTTTCAAATACAGATTAATGAGGGATCGTTTTAGTTCGTTGAGTTAATTTAGGAGAATATCATGTGATTTGATTTCCTTCCGTTTTTAACCAGTTTAACCTTCCAGATTTTGCGCAGATACGTTACTGTATTTAACGTTAATGCCGCTTGAATACAGCTAAATACATGTCAAACTTAGCTGGAATTCCACTTTTTACGCCTATTTTTTTGGTTGTATTAATGAATACAACAGCTTAAATACATGAAATACATTGTATAAAAACATAAAAGGTATCTATAACACGTAATATAGCAAAGGGTATCTATAAATGGCTAATTAGACCTAAAAGATTGTGCTTTATGAAAAATTCTCATTAAAAAATAGCCATAGTTTCATAAGTAATCGGAATTTAGCCACTTTTCATGTAAAAGATAAATTTGAACAAAAACATTGTTCAAAATCTGAAAAATATTCCAGCATAATATGTCGGAGTTCGAATTTTTTACATGCGAACATCTAGCATAATATGCTGGAAATTTATAATATATTGGAGTTCCAACATAATATGCTCAAAGTCCATACACAGGTGCTCCAATTTCTAGTATATTATGCTGGAACTTTCCGTATGTTGGAGTTCCAACATAATATACTTGAAGTTCATACACATGTGTTCCAATCTCCTGTATATTATGCTGGAACTTTTCATGTTACAACAAAATAGTTGCTATTTTTTGAATAACTTTGCAAATGATAACTATTTTTCAATTACCGATCCGAAAAATAACTAGCCCATCATATTTTGACTTCTTTCTGTCTATCCGATATCTGAATGCAATACGTTTACAATCGACCCACGGCCCAACTTGAGGCAAGACGAAACGAGTCCGCATTTGAATGGATTGTCTATTATACCCTTATATATATGTTCTGTCACGTGGACAAATTAGTAATTGTGAATAAACATTCAGAAGCTGCTCTCTAGCCCTGCTCCTCCGTCTCTCACTCAATTTCTTTCTCCTCTGTTGGTCTTGCCTGTTTTCCTCTCAAAGTTTCTCCATCTAGCTCCTGCTTGGGCTCGATGTGTGTGTTGTACTTCTCAATTCTGGTGAGTATTTTTGCTCCATCCCGATTGTTGCTAATGGAATTTTGCTGGTTTCTGTTTTTAATCCAATGTTTGTCAGTAATTGCATCTGTTTTTAACACATGCATGTTTGGAAATAGATACCCAATTGCATGATTTTGAGGATAAAAATCAGATTTTTTTTTTTAAATCAAACTTTAACTCCTTTTTGCCGGATGCTCTCTTCTTTTTTCTCTTTGTTGATGGTCAAATGGTGTGTTTTCTAAACTGCCTATCAAGTGTGCGAGTTGCTATTTTTTGGTTTTTTGGTCTTGCAAAGCAATCAAAAAGTAGGAGCTATAACTTGCACGATTCAAGTTATTTAATTTGCTTAGGTATCAGAAAGAAACAGTAAGTTTGATGTAATAGCTATAGACACAACTGTCATCTGGTATTTGATCGTCCACTTGAAAGAAGTCTGTCTGGTTTGCCAATCTTGTTCAAGGTGTTTGATGGTATGCCTGAAACAGTAGAATACCAATTTTTTCCAGGTGTTCTATGATATACTCATCTATCATTCAGGAAATATAAGGTACATTATTACTTAAAATGGACAGTATTGTTAGCCTATTTATCTTGTGTTTCATTTTTGTCTTTTAGTTGGAAGCCCCAACCCTTTAAATCCTGATACCACAACAAGAGAATTTGAAATCAAAACTTAATAGCATAATAAGAGAATTTGGAATCAACTAATGAGGTATCGATTCTTTGAATTACATTTGAAGTTAATAAAAATGTAATATAAATCTATATTTTCACGAATTATTGTCTCTGTGTATATGTGTATAGAATTTGAAGGATTATATATATGAAGCAACTATGATAGCAAATATTTTGGGAAACCAAGCAATCCTTCCGAGCCCTCTGTCATCTTCATATATCACTTAAGGCCGGCCCTGAACATGTGTGATTTACTTACACGGTTTCTATTAGGATTTAGCCAATCATCTCATGACACTTGCATTAGTTAGTGGATCACATTTTTATTTTCCCACTAATAAGAGGCGTGTATGTTATGGAAATTTGTTTTGAGAGATATAAATTTCAGGTTCATGTCTAAGAGCAGTTGATCAAGAAGAAGAAAAGGAACCTAAACTTTTTGAACCTGCAATACCTGTCAGAATACCTGTCATTGAAGAAATAGATGAAGCAAAAATGAGAACAAAACTGAGGTCCTCAACTATATCGAAGTTCTTTTCTCTGCTGTTGGTAATACTCATGATTGCTTTTGTTGTATCAATTACTGATTCTCCATTAGCTGAGGTAAATGAGGCTAGCTCAGAAAACGATCTCGAACAAGGACAGTATGACTTGGAGACTGAACAAGTTTCTTTAGTTCTCCTAGCAGAGGGGAATGAATATTCTGATAGTTCAGGAAGGGATCTAGACCAAGGGCGTCTTATAGCTTCATATCTTCAGCTTGAGTTGGCTGAAACCACTATCAGTTTTGATTCTGTACTTGAGTCAGTGAACCACATTAATACTGAAAGCTTAAGCTTTGTGAAAGACGATTCTGCTTTTGAAGATGCCCAACCTTTGGAAACGCTGCAGAGATCTCCGATTAATAGAAATGGAGGTAATGTTGGAGCATTCCATATCCTGGGAATTTCCTCATCCTCAGTTGTCCTGGGTTTGCTAGCTGCTACAGTTCTCCAGCTCTATCTAAAGAGAAAAAGTTATAAGATCACTCTTCATCCAATAGATAAAGTCTCAAGTAAGAAAATTGTCGATGAACTTCAAATTCACCTGCATCTGCCTGTGCTTATTATCACGTTGATAGTTGATAGAATATTATATGTAAATATACTATTCAAATCATATAGTAAATGCACCCTATTATCATACTTGCAATAACTCCTAGTATTCTTTGTCCAAGGTCGGACTCTTGTCAGGCTCCCCAATAATTGTTCCTCCTAATGTGACAGAACATAATGTTGTCAAAGAGAAAGAATATTCCTCTCAAAACTGGCCAACAGAGGCTGATGTCGCGGGAGAGTACTCTTGTACTTCAGAAATGAGTTGCAGCTTTCAGATGAGTTCATCTTATAGAGAGAAGTACCCCGAATCAGTAAATGATGAAGCTCAGAGCGTAGAGAAGAAACCTAGAAAGATTAATAGGAGAGAGTTCTTGGATGCATCTGATGAGTACTCGTTGGGTTCACATTCTTTATGGAAGTATCACTACATACGAGAGGGTTCCTAGCAAGCATGCAACTGGAAGGGAACAAGTCATCATCCCCGTAAGGCGCTCAAGCAGAATTAGAAGCCATGTCACTTCTTCAACGTTTAGATTCTGAAGATGTTTTGCTTGTTTGCTATAGCAGAACCAGAAGTCATGTGACAAGCAAACAACGCAAACAGCACAAGCAAACATCTTTTAGGCATAGTCATTCCTAACTAATACCTTCCGACGTAATTGAAGTGATTCAGATGTAGTGATTTGTGTTCTTTTTATGTTTTACTTAGCTGATGTCTTGATAGTGCAACTTTCTACATGCTGTTTCTGTAAGTTGAGAATTTCCAGTGATTTGTGCACAACCCTTTCTACATGCTGTCTCTGTGAGTTGAGGGTTTTCAGGTGGTTGATGCATAACACTTTCTACATGCTGTCGCTGTGAGTTGAAGATTTCCGGTGGTTTGTGTGTTTAACCAGAAAATAAGAAATTCGGGTCAAAGCGTATCTTTTAGAAGAACTCGGGTTACTGATAATCAAAT